AACAAAGCCCAAAGAAAAAAAGTGAAAATAAAAGGAAGCATCTAAGAAAAGAAATGATATAAGGATAGTTATGGTCACAATAAATGTATTGGGCAAAAATTTAAACTCAACTACATAAAATTTGAGACATTTCAAAATGAACTACAAAGCTCAAAGTAAGAGGATGATCTAAATCTTGTCAAGTAAATATGACATATACAACATATACCACATATACATAATATATTCAGGGATATAGTAAATATATTAATGAATTTATGAATTAAGAGTGCATTAGACAAAAGAAACAGAATATAACTCATGAAATAAACTGTCATTAATCAAATTACATACCCAGTCTCAGAAACTAAGAAATCAAAACAATAACAGAAATGACAGATTTCTGTTACAACTTTCTAAAACCTTAACATTGTACATCAAAATCTACAGCACAGCTCAAGCTCTGTTAAGTGAATGGCAAAGTCTTACACACAAACAAAAATTAACCATTCAGCTCAGCAAGTGAAAAGAAAGAACAAAATACTCTGGAGTAAATTTTCAAGTTAAAACCATAAATTAACGAATTATTCAGTGTAGATAATGATAGCGCTAGGAAGACAGGTAGAGATGCTGAGGGTTATACACACGCACTTACAATTTCTGAAGAGAAACAGTTTGGAGGATAGAGGTTTCAGGTATAGGCACAACTGAATAGCTTAAACAGCCAATAAGCAACGCACACTGGAATAAGCAAAGCCCCAAAACGCTAATTTTATTCTGAGCCTCTGACGGTGAGACTCAGAATAATGTTAAGACAATGAGCTAGTGCCTTTAGGAGGGTCCAGGGCTGCGCAGAGTGAAAGAAATAAAAAGCTTAGATTAATACAGCCAGGTGACACTAATTTGATGACTTTTATGGCAAAAAAAAAAAAAACAAAAACCCAAAATCCAAAACCCAAAAAAACCAAAACCAAAACCAAACAACCAAAAAAACCCTGAACCGGTGTTAATTATGAGGAAAGGGGTGTATCTGCCTGTAAAGCGGGTTGACTTCATTTGTATAGGTTATGGGTAGGGCAGTTTAAGACAGAACAGCTTTGTGAGGTAAGCTTAAGTAAATAAAAGTTTGCAAATTAGTGTTTGATCCATGCAAGAGGTTTCATCTGGAGGGCTTAATGTCTCACAGGGGTGGTTAGGGACGACTGGCCTTGCCCGGTTAATCTATCCAGTCACAGCTGGGGGGGCCCTGCGGCTCAAGCCCAGCCCTTCCAGGCCCTCTCCTGCACGAGGTTCTACAGATCTGGGGCATGGGTCCGCTACAGAACGGCAGAGGGGGCAGCACTGAAGCCAGGTTCGCGGCTCAGGAGCACGGGATCTAGCCCACGCCGCCCTCCCCATCCGATTCCAGGGCACAGCCGAAGCCAGCACAGCCAACAGGCGGAGACCCGCGCGTTCCGCGTGCGCGCCCTATGCGCGAGTGCCGGCTCTGCGCACCCACATCCCCACGCCTGCGACCCACGTGATACTTGAGAGCACAGCTGTTATCCAGGTGCCAGAGTCGAAACGAGCAGCGGAAGTCGCCGTCCTGGGTGGTGGAAGAAGCTGGTGTTGGGTCAAAACAGAACCAAGAGCCCTCCGCCTTACTGACCTTTAAACAACCCGCCACTCACAAGTTGCCTTGGCGCACTTTCGCGCATGCGCACCTATAGTGGAAGAAGCCCCCAGAACACCCCGCGGCCAGCGCCCAACTGGGACCTAACCACTGCACTTTCGAGACTCCGCCCACACCCCCCGCCCCGCCCCGCCTCCCCGCCCCCCGCCCCGCCCTTTTCTGCAGTGACCAGGTGGAGGAGCGCTGCTCCGCTCAAAGATTCTTTCCATTCTTCTGGTGAATTGGAAGAAGCCAAACTTTCAGGGATTTCTTTCTCCTACTTGCCCCATTCTCATTAACCTGAAACCTCCCAGAATTGGAATAATTTCGAAGAGGTATCATATATATTGCTTAGTCTTTACGGATTTATCAATTTAGTGATTGTTCAGTTTTGCATGAAGGTAAAATGTATTGTAGATCCGAGTTTTATTTAGTTTTCTGGATGTGAGGATTGGATTTGGATTTAATCATCTGGAGCTTAAAGATGTCTTGACTAAGACATATACAATTTGTGTCAATTCTGAGTAGATGGTAATTCTAAGAGTGCATTGAAATTGATGGGGTCTGGGGAAAAGGCTGGGATTTGGCTTGACAAGTATCGATAACATTGGTTGAGACAAGAAATTTTCTGGCTAAAACCAAAAATTAAATGTAAGTATGTCTGCAAAGGAAAGAGAGGAGGATCAGCCTAAAACGTAGGAGGAAATCTAATAGATGTGAAGACTAAAAGGAAAGGAAAGTGTGTGTCGCAGAAGAGGGAATGCCTGTGGTGTTAATTATGTGAAAATGTAGTGAGTGCTTAGACAGGCATGTACACAATGTTGTAAGAACAGAGCAAGAGGATGCAAACTAGCAAGTCGGGGAGAGCTTCCTATGAGAAGCTTTTCTGTTTGTTTGTTTGTTTTTTTATGTATTTTTAAAGAAAAGGGTCTACAGGGTGTTCAGGGTCTCACTGCTAGATCAGACTGTAATGATCCGCCTGTTTACAGCCTCCCAAGAGCTGGGATTACAGGCGTGCACCACCACGCCCAGTCCCATGAGAAGCTTTGAATGTAGGCCAGAAGTTTGCTAAGATAAAGGAAGATGGGAAGTAAGGCTTTTTCCCAAGCTGCCTTTATTAAGATACCCAGATTTTGTAGAATAATATTATCTGAAATTAGGGGTATGATCAGTGACAATTCACTTACAGGGAGTTTATCTTTATAAAAGTGATATTTAACTATGTAGACAAAAACTTTTGATTTAAAAAGTGTTGCTAGCTAATAAGCTCAAGCATCCCACACAACCAATTAAGAGGCAAGGGAAAAGAAAAGCACTGATTAGACTTCCTAATATGTGTTATAAGTATAAAATTTCTGATTAGATGTCCTCAAACGTCCCCTGTAGGCTTGGTACTGCTGAGTAAGGGTTATTTGCAGGTCCTGAAGACCCTACTGACAGTCCAGTTTTTTGGTTTTTTTTTTTTTTTTAATGTATTTGGTTGCTAAAGGGTCTCACTGCACAGCTCGAACTCATAGTGATGCTCCTGTTTTCAGATTCCCCAGTGCTGAGATTACAGGTGTGTGCCACCATGCCCAGAATGGGTGGCCTGGACTGGGTGGCCCACTCAGTGTGCCTGGGGGTGGGGCAGTGTGGCCTGTGATGCTAGAGATTGAACCCAGGTCTTTGTGTTTGCCTATCCAGATTTTAGTCCACTGAGCTAGCTTGGTGGCCCTAGTCTAGTCATTTTTTAATGGTACAATTTTATAGTTTCTCTCAATATATAACATTATAATAAAGTGAAGTACACTGCAATTATGTGAGACTCTTTGTTTCTTTCTTATAAGTACAAAGAATCAACTTTATTGGACATTGTTATTTCTTTTTCTTGCCCTTGCTGGTGACCTTGGCGGGAGTGAGGACTAGGGCCCTTGCCTGGTACAGAGTACAGGAGATCTTGTTGATGTAGTAGAGACCAACCATGAAGAAGAGGAAACACGTGGTTATGCAGACTCGGTGGATGAGGCCAAATGTAGAGAGCCAACAGAAGGCACGATGGAATCTCAGGGAAGATCTTTGCTTGGAATTTTTTTGCCAAAGACCAGGTTGTCCCTATTA